TTCTGTGCAGCCAATAAACAATGTAAAGGACCCCGCACAAACATTATGGAAATTGAATTTCGGTCGAATTGGCTGGAGATTTGATATATTAGTGATCTTGTTGTCTTGATAAAAAGTCTCCACAGGTACGATCCCCTGCAATGAACCGTTTGATCTCTACGAGACGTCATTTTTCAAAACAGGCTAATACTACATTATCTTATTTTCAGCAGATACGGTATATTTCTACATCATTATTTGTACTTCCTATGTATTTTTTAAGTAAAAAGTTATAAGGATATTATTGACTTTATTGCTTCTTACAAAAAAATTATAAAGATATCGAGGTTAATAACTTGATTTTAGAGATTTAAATCAATGTTGTGTTGCTTCATGTTTAGGGCGGGAAAAGAAATGAACACAATCATAGGGTGCATGCAAAGAACCGCTTTATTTATATTGAGTAGGCCGTGTGTTGTGAGAGGCGAGGGGACTCACAATAATCAAGCACTCTGACTTTTGAGAAGCAATTAAATCAATATAACTTTCCTTTTTATTCTTATAAATTTTTACTTAAAAAAATATATAGAAAGTACAAATAGTGATATAGGAATGCACCGTACCCGTTGAAAATAAGATATTGTAGTATTAGCCTGTTTTGAAAAATGACGCCTCGTAGAGGTCAAACGGTTCATTATAGAGGATCGTATCTGTGAAGACTTTTTATCAGGACAACAAGATCTACAACATATCAAATCTTCAGCCAATTCGATTTCCATAAGGTTTGTACGGGGTAGAGAAAAGACAGTATTCTGTCGGTGAGGATTTCCGAAATAAGCATCTTCTTGACATATTTGTTGCACTTTTTAGACGCGCGAATGGCTACGTTTGGGTAACTTGCGTGATGATTAAACGTCTGAATCGGTTGAACGAGACAGACGAACGGCACGGCGACGTTTCGCGGCTGCGAAATTACCTACAATTTGCGCTCGCGATATTCCTCAATTTTCCAGACGCACGCAAAGTGCGTTAATTTAACGATGAGCGACGGCGGTAGGAGGCGAACAATATGTTCGTCGGACGCTCTCTCTTCGCTTCCTTATCGGTTTCAACGCGGACGACCGAAATAGACAAGATGGTGCACTTTCATCATTAGCCTGCCATTGTTCCGTAGTCTCATCCACGTTCGACCCATTTCATGCCTTATCAGTCAGCATCTCTCCGGCGTCGGGTGAAGTGCGCCGGCGAAACTACCGAGTTCTCGTGACAAGATCGTACGTATACGCCCACGGAACTACTGAGTTTCCCATCGCGAGATCGTCAGGCGACGTCTTGTGTCATTTTCCTGAACGATTTCTGTAAATTCGACACACCGCGATACACGGCAGATCGAAAGATCTACCAGCAAAACACGATCAGCTGTAGACTTTCACCGTAAATTAAACCATCGATTCGTCGCGACAATACGAAATATCGCATCGTTTATTTAATCATGAAATATGATAGCGCGTGTTACGCCAAGTATATATAGCTCAATACAGCAATCTCTCTCTCTCTCTCTCTCTCTCTTCCTCCCTTCCTCTCTTTCTGTCTTTCTTTATAAGATATATTATTGTTTATTCTTTATACCAAAGAGAACGCTTTTCTAGATTTTAATATTCTAGATTATGAAATGCTAAACTTACTAAGATTTCAAATATACTTTGAATAAACGCAGGGTTGCATTCCAAAACGTTCTTTCTGAGGAAAATTTTACTCTTAAGTCTATAGTGTATATAACATAAACTATAGATTTAAGAGTAAAATTTTCCTCGAAAAAGATGTTTTGGAATGCAACCTAGATGATAAAATGTCGGGAAAGTTCGACTCGATTTTCTACTATCTTCGACGGTAAACCGCAGTCATTTTTATAAAAAAAAAAGGGTAAATGCTGCTGAAAGATTGACAAAGATCCACAGACTACAACGGCGAATATTTGCTTTAGGATTTATAAAACAAATAAAATAAATTGAAAAGTTCTGATACTAAAAGAAAACGAGACTCATCGAGATTGTACATATGTATCCGTGCACTAAAAAACTGACATATTACTACTATTTTCGCGTTAAAAAAAGCAGAAAATATGAAAATAGGTCAGAGCTGAAAATAATTATAATTTCAGTTAGATCAACCATTTTGTTCCGTCAGTATATGAAATATTAATAATAAGTAACGTGAATCAGTTCCATTTATAGTATCAATGAAACGACAGTTTCGCGACGAAGATCGCCGGACATTTTTGATAGATGTCGGAAAAAAGGACGTTCTCGATCGTCCGGAACCTTTCAGTGCGCGACCCCGCAGCAGCTCGCGGCTGCTGTTGTCCCTTCGAGCGCCCAGCATATTCTCGACGATGTCAGGTGCATTTGGTTCGGGGCACTTCGCCGACGCAGAAATATCGTCGACGGACGTTTCGGCCATTAGCATTTCGGACACTCATGATTTATTCATGAAGAAAGCGCCACGTGCGGTAGCAGCGGAGGTGGTGGCCGGACCGAGCAGGCGAAGCCGGAGGTCGGCGGCGCGGGAAACGCGCAACAATGCATTATGATTCGCCATGCAGCGCGGGAGAACACGCGCGCGAGAACGTTGTATAAACGCAGACGCTTAAGTAGATGCATAAAACGCGAGAATATTCACGTCGGTCATCCGCCGTGAAACGCCACGGATGAACGGCCGCTCACGTAGAGGCGATCGCAATCGTGACGACCGAGTTTCACCCCTGAACGCGTGAAATGTAACGGGTATGTGGGCCACTGTGTAAGAGATCGTGGAAGGAATATATGCCAGAGTTGCCATTTAATCGACTAAAATTTTCCTTGACTAACGTAATTTATAATCAGAACTGACCAATCGTAGTATACAAAGTCGCAAATAATGTCACTGATTAATAAAATTAATTTCTAATCAAAATTTAACGTGACTGACTATATATTGATTAATAATTAATTAATCAATCGATTAAATCATTATGACGATTAATTAATTTGGATTATTAATTTGCCGATTATATTAGTCAAAGAAAATTTTCACAATGTTGAACTAATACAAGTTATGTGTGGACAATGAGAGATAAATGTAAACACACATGTATACTTGTATTCTTTCGGTAGCTTTAGTAATTTAGAAGTCATGAAGAAAAAATTTTCATTCTGATAGTAGATATGATGGTTACCATAATAACGTTTATCATCATATAAGATGCTAGAAAAGTCGAGTTGAACATTGGATTGGCCTAATATTTTATGATTTAGTACACGACACATATATTTTATGTAT